AATTTGCTCAATGAAACTGGGCTCCTAACCACTTGTAATTAACAATGGAGACAAGGCATCAAAAATGAAACTCAAGTCTATGGCATTAGAGAATCACTCCTTACTACCACAAAGGTGGAGAGGGTCAAGAATTCTTGGAGTATCAGAAAAACCTGGAAAGATTTACAGAAGCTGATACAAAATGACACATACTGTGTACAAAGTAATGGCAAAATTATAAGATGATCAGCTGTGAATGATTTAGCTATTCTTAGCAATACAATAATCCAAGACAACTCTGAAGGACTTATGATGAAAAATGTTATCCATCCCCAGAGAAAGAATTGATGGTGTCTGAATACAGATTGAAGCATATTTTTTAAACTTTCTTTATTTTTCTTGACTTTTTGCCTATATTTTCTTTCACAACATGACTAACATGAAAATGTTTTGCATGACTACATGTACATAACCTATATCAAATTGCTAGGTGGGGAGGAAGGAAAGGAGAGAATTTGGAATTCAAAGTTTTAAAGATGAATGTTAAAAATTGTTTTTACATGTGATTGCGGTAAAATAAAATACTAAACAACAAAAAAGAATTCTTGGATTAGCCCTAAAACCCGAGCTGTGAGATGTAGCCTTCCTTGGGGACACAGCTCACCAGTGCGAGAAAACCTTGTTAGTAATAGTGAGGTTAGGAAGAGAGAAGAGTCTTGGGGGAAAGATGAATTCAATTTTGGAAGTACTAAGTTTGAAGTAACTATGGCATGTACAGTCTGAGATATTCAATAAATAGTTGGTGATATGAGACTGCAGGGCACTCAGATGCCTTCTGCCACTGTTTCCTCCTTCATTCATTTCACATGGAGAGATGGCTCTTCTCCTTGAAAACCTTCTACATGACATGTAATTCAATTCCATCCTATATTCTCCAGCAGAGTGCTTCCTATATCATCTCTGCTCTCTCATTCATCTTCATTTGTTCCCTGTCTACTGGCTGTTTCCCTACTGCCTACAAATATGCCCAAGTTTCTTCCATCTTCAAAAAATTCCTCACTTGATTCATCCATCCCTGTTAATTTTCATCCTATATCTCTCCTCCCTTTTGTGGCTAACCTCCTTGAGAAAGCTGTTTACAATAGATGCCTCCACTTCCTTTCTTTCCACTCTCTTATTAACTCTTTGCAGTTTGGCTTCTAATCTCATCATTCAACTGAAGCAACTCAACTAAGTTACTAATGATCTTTTTTGTTTTTGGTTTTGGTTTTTTTTGGAGGCAACTGGGATCTAGTGACTTGCCTAGACTACAGCTAGTGTCTGAGACTGGATTTGAACTCAGGTCCTTCTGACTCCAGGGCTGGTACTCTATCCACTGCACCATCTAGCTGCCCACTAATGATCCTAATTGTCAAATCTAATTGTCTTTTCTTAGTTCTTATTCTTCTTGACCTCTCTGCAGCCTTTGACACTGTTGATTATTATTTTATTCTTCTTAACATTTTCTTCTCTCTAGGTTTTTACTCTCTCCTGATTCTTTTCCTACATGACTGAGCTTTTTTTCCTCTCTCTCCTTTGCTGGCACTTTATCTATGTCAAGCCTGTTAAAAATAGGGATCCCTCAAGGCTCTGCTATGGGCTTTTTTCTCTTCTCCCTCTATACCATTTCACCTGGTGATCTCATCAGCTCCCATGGTTTCAATTATCACCTCTAATGTTGATGATTCTTAGATCTACTTTATCTAGGCCAAACCGCTCTCCTGACCTCCAGATTCATACATCAACAACTGACACTTAAACTACATGCTTCATAAACATCTTACACTCAACATCTATGGAAAGGCTGCAACATATTTATGGATAGTAAATACAAGATCTATATAAAATAAATACAAAGTGATACATTCTGTAACAAGATCAATAGCTATCTCATAGGTGTGAGACTACAATTCAATTAATCCTCAGTAGATTTGTCATATGACAAATTTTCATATGTATTGTTGTAACTCAGTCCTTTCAGCTGTGTCCTATTATTTGCGACCCCATCTGGAGTTTTTTGGTAAAGATACTGGAGTGGTTTGCCATTTCCTTCTCTAGCTCATTTTACAAATGAATAAACTGAGGCAAACAGGGCTAAATCACTTGTCCAGGGTCACACAGTTAATAAGTATCTGAGGCCAGATCTAAACTCAGGAAGAGGAGTCTTCCTGATTCCAGGTCCGGCATTCTATCCACTTCATCACCTAGCTACCTGGTAAATGGATTAGAGAGGCGAAGAAGACTGCCTTGCTACAGTGAGAGTCCAGTCGAAATTACATAAGATAAATTTGTAGCAAGTCCAGGCAATATAGTTTTGTGGTTTTCTCCAGCTCTGTTCACCAGATTGTGAGGGTAATGCATGGTTGGAGCTGGGCAAGTCATAGCTGGCAACAGGAAAAGGGAGCAAGGGGCTCAATTGTAGAGGATAATGTAGAGTTGCTCTGGTCCACCAACAGATGAAGAAAAGGAAAGAGTAAATGTAAACTTCTTGGGCTCAGAAGATATTTTGTTTATGTCTTTGTATCTCCAGCACAATTTCTTCTTATGTAGGAAGTGCTTATATAAAGACTGTGGACAAGGCAGGGGCTCCCCTTATCTTGTGACCTCTTACCTCACCCCTGTCAGCTCATTGTTGACAGGACCCAATCACCAAATAGCCAGAATAAGAGCTGGAATTTTAAATCAAAGGCTTACTACTAACCTTTATCTTTCTGTATATCACCATAAAATTTTCCTGATGATAGCCTAAAGTGCCCAAAGTTGGAGTCATTAGTGGAAGGTATCCATCTATTCCTCCAACTTTCTGTTTAAAAAAAAAGAAAGAAAGAAAGAGTAAGGCAAGTCAGGAATAAACATCACAAGTTAGACATTAAGGTTACAGCTGAGAAGACACTAATCTTTTCAAAGGTGAAAGGGTCAAGAATTCTTAGGATGTAACATTTATGACTCAATCTACCTTTTAAGGGTAAAACATAGGTGATTCATTCGACACATTTTCAGGGGGAAACCGAGTGATTCACTTTCAGGAGGGCAAACTTTGATGACATAACTCTAGGGTCCCACTCCACTTCTGAGATCAGAGAATAGTTTTTAAAAGTTATCTTATTTAAATTGTTCCTGAACAGGAAGCTCTTTACAACTCTTCACAACTACAAGAAGTGGTGACCTAGTCTCAGCTTAAACATCTCTTTAGAGGCGGAGCCCATTATCTCCTAAGGCATCCCATTCTAGTTCTGACATAGTTTTTCCTTATATCTAGCTGAAATCCCTCTTTCTGCGACTTCCACCATTTCTCTACAGATACAAGGCTGACTGGTACAATGGAAGTAACGTTAAATTAGGAGTTGAGGACCTAGGTTTGAGTACTGGCTCTGACACTTAGTACCTGTGTAAATCTTAAATCTCTGGGTCTGTTTCCTTGCCTATGAAAAAAATGAGGGAGTTGAACTAGATGACTTCTAAGGTTCCATACAGCTTTAAATCTATGATCCTATAATCCTTTCACATAATAGCCCTTCAAATACTTGAAAGACAAATACCACAACCCTTCTAAGACGTGTTTAAGCAAAACTTGGCCACATCTTTTTGCAGCACCCTGACCTTTGACCATGTACCAACTAGTCAATGTCCATCCTAAAATGTGACTTTTGGAATTGAACCCAGTTTTCCAGAGGTGGTCTGACACCACTAAAATACCCACATTCTGCCCCCCCCGTCCTGCAACTGATATCTAGCCAAAATTTACCAGTGTGATTCTTTTTGTACTAGTTGATTCTTTTAAAATCTAAGGGCAGAATTTTTATATTTATCCCTGTTAAATTCCATTTTATAAGAGATTATTGTGCTAGCCTGTCAAGATATTATTTGAGACCCAATCAACTGACAAGTATAAGTGTTTAGCATATGTGCCAGGAACTGTGAATACAAAAAAAAAAAAGAGAGAGAGAAATAATCCCTATTGTCAAGTATACATTCTATTAACTATCCCACTCTCATGTAAAACTAGATTGGACCAGATGCTTTCTAAAGTTTCTTTCCAGTTCTAACAACCTATAGTCCTACCTTACCTATGTAATCCTGGCCAAGTGTCTTCTACTCTCCTGGCCCATTTCCCCACCTTTTCCCCACCAGCTTCAGAAACATTTGAGAGGCAAGAAGCTGGCAGATTGCCAGTTTTGGAGTCAGGAAACTCCCCAGTTCAATTCTTGTCTTCCACACCTTAGATGGCTGACTGGCCATCAAGACAGGAAATGTCTCAGCTCCCTGAGGAACCCTCTAGAAGTTACAGATGTGTACTAGTGGAGGGCTGTTCTACACCAGGAGGCCCCTAGAGGCATGAAATCACAGGCGGGGGCATAAAAACATTTTTAGGGGTATTATCTTCATTTTACAGATGATGAAACTGAGGCTCAGCTGGGTGAGGAGTCTAGCCCAGGGTCACACTTCTTCTGAGTCTCCGGGGAGGGACTTGAACCCAAGTCTCCTAACATTTATTAAGCACCTCCTATGTCCCATTAGATTGTAAGCTCCTCGAGGGAAGGGGCTCTTTTGACCCTTTTTGTATCCCCAGCGCTTAGCACAGTGCCTGGCACATAGTAGGTGCTTATTAAACGTTTATTGACGACTGCCTGATCCTATGTGCTGGAAATAGAGAGACCAGAGGCCTCCGAGGCTCAAAGACGCGAGCGCGGCGGCTTGGCCGGGTCATTCGGCCGGTATACATCGGGGGCAGGCCGGGGCATGGCCTCGGCGCGTCCGTTGGCAGGGGCCCCGAAGACCCAGGGGAGGCTTCTCTCCCGCCGAGCCCAGGCCTCCGTCCCCTTTCACCTCCATCGAGGAACTCTTCCTGGAAGTATACGGTGGCGAGCGCTACCGGCACCAGCCACAGAGCCCACAAAGACCCAGGAGCCACGACCCGGCCCATGGCCGCTCGAAGGTAGTCCTTCTTTTCCCGCCCTCCGTCCGGCGGCGCCCACTGATTGGCTCTGTCGGGAACTCCGCGGACGCTACCCCCTGCGTCCTGGCACAGGAAAGAAAAAGAACTTCAATTCCCTTCGTGCTTTGCTAAGTGTCTGAGCCCTGGCGCTCCGGCCGCCCACGGGGTGGTGTATGCCGGGAAATGTAGTTTCTCGCCCTCGACCTCCCCCTCTACCTCCCCACCTCCCACCCCGCGGCGCGAGGCCGGAAGTCCAATTCTGTTGCCAAGAGAGACCGTTAGCGAGTACTGGGCCCTCCGGCCCTGGGCCGGCGGATTGGTGTACGGAGGTTTCAGATTGGACTGGGAGAACCCAAGGAAAAGGTCAGGTCGGTGTATAGCACGAGGAGGAAGGGATGGGAGGGGCCTAGAATGGGGGAGGCCGCGGGGGAAGGTTGGACGTTCGGACGTAGGGAGGTTGAGGAGCGCCAGAAGCCCCGGGGCCTATGGGTGGGGAGGGAGAAGCGGGGTCGTTCGCTCGGGGAAGGGAGGGGCAGAAGGAGGAGGAGGAGGAGGAGGTCTCGTGCTCGGTTCTAGGCTGACATCTGACCCAGCCTCCCTTAGGCTCTCAGGGTGGGAAGTGGGATGAGAGAAGAAGCGAGGGTTGGCCAGACGAGATCTGGGGGTCTTAGTGGACTGCAAGCTCGAGATGCATCTATCGCATGACGTGGCAGCCCAGAGCGCTAGTGTCTGAGGCCTTGTTAAGAAGAGGAGGAGCGTCTGGGAAGAATGCTTGTTGAATGAATGAAGGAATGAATGACCAGGGGCCGATAGTGACCGCTGTCCTCTGCTCTGGTTGTGTCATAGTAAATTTCTGGGTACCAGGGTCTAAGAAGGCCGTATATAAGCTGAAGAACACTCAGAGCCGGGAAGCCAGGGTGGTGAAAGGCTCTCTGAAGGTGCCATGGGATGCTTGGTAGAAGGAACTGGAGTCAGGGTGGGTAGAGCACAGGACTTGGAATTAGGAAGACCTGAATTCGAATTTGACCTCAGACACTTAGCTTGTGTGATCTTGGGCAAGTCATTTAATATCTTTTGGCATTAGTTTCCTTATCTGTAAAATGGGGATAATGATGGCACCTATTTCTTAGGGTGGTTATGAGCATCAGGTGAGAATTATCTCACCCAATAAAGGTGAGATAATAAAGGGCTTTGCAAATCTTAAAGTATTGAATTATCTTTTGTTTTCCTTTGCATCCCCAGCTCTTAGCACAGTGCGTAGCACGTACTACATGTTTAATAAATATTAATTGATTGACATATTGTGTTTAGACCGAGAAGAGGAGACTTAGTGGGAACATGATTGAGGGCTCTTTTTGAGTATTTGAAGGGTTGTCATGTGTAAGAGAAATTTGAAGCCTTGGCCTTAAAGGACAGAATTAGGAAGAAATGGATGGAAGTTTGAGAGACACAGGTTTAGGCTTAATGTAAGATGGAACTTCTTAACAATAAATATAGTGAAATACAATTCTTAGGAGGTAGTGGAAGAGAGATGTAACCTAGTCAAAAGTGTTGGGATTCTGAGTCAAGAGACCTTTGTTTGTATCCTGCCCCACAAAATTTAGGGCTGGTTGACCTGGGATGGAGGCTGCTTTCATCTCTCTGAATCTCACTATTTCCATATGTAAAATAAGGATAGAGATATTTGCATTATCCATTTTAAAGGAATTTTATTAGAAAAGTACTTTGTTTTTTCAGTGTAGGTCTAAGGCTGCGTTGAAATGTTTGTTGGGGCTGTTTTAAGGGGCATTTCTATGCTGGTATGAATCGAAGAAATTCAGAGTTGGAAGGGCCTCAGAAGCCATCTAGTCTAACCAATACCTAAGAACAGTCCTCCCCCCATGATGCCAGCCAACAAATGGTCATCCAGCCTTTTCTTGAAGATCTTCCATATGGAGGAAGGACAACTCTCATTGCTAAAGAAGTTTTTATTGATAGCAATCCCTAAACTGACTTCTGTGAAACTTTGATCCTTTGCTGTTTTTCCTAATTTCTTTGATGGAACCAACAAGTCTATTCCCTTTTCCGCATGACAGTTGTCCTTCAGCTACTTGAAGACAGCTGTAATGTCCCGTCTCTCTTCCCCTGACCCCTGGTCTCCTCCAGGTCAAACCTTTCCTCATGTACGACATAGACTAAAGGCCCTTCCCCATCCTTGTTGCCCCCCAGAATTAAACATATTCCAGATGAGGTCTGAGGGCAGATACACCTTAAGATCTTACCCCCCCCCGCCTCCAATCCCCACTGTGATCCGAGGCTCTGGAATAGCCTCCTTGCTGTTCCTCACAGAAGACTCCCCATCTCCCAGCTCTCGGCATTTTCATTGGCTATCCCCCCCACCTGGAATTTCTTTTCCCATCTTAGGAGTCCTTCAGCTTCCTTCAGATCCCAGCTGGAATTCTACCTTCCGCGAGAAGACTTTCTCAGTCTCCCTCGATTCTAATGCCTTCCCCTGTTGATTATCTCCAGTTTATCCTGGCTGTAGCTTGTTTGTACATAGTCGTTTGCATGTTTTCTCCCCCTTTAGGCAGGAAGCTCCTTGAGGGCAGAGATGGTTTTGTGCCTTCTTTGTATCCCCAACACAGCACTGTGTCTGGTGCTTAGTAGGTGCTTAATAAATGTTTCCTGACTGACAGAAAGCAGAAGGAGCAGTATCTCCTCATTCTTGAAATCTGCCTGTTTTAATGTAGCCCCAGATAAGTTAGCTTTTTTGGCCACCACATCATTGTTCTGAATCATATTATGCTTCTTTGTGTTTCACTGATACTCCCAGATCTTTTTCAGAATCTCAGTAGCCACAGCTCTCTTCTTGTACTTGTGAAGTTGATTTTTTACTCCTAACGTAAGACACTATATTTATCCCTATTGAATTTCTTCTTATTAGATTCAACCCAATTGTCTTGCCCGTCAAGATCTTTTTGGATTCTGACTTTGCCCTCCAGTGTAGTTAGCTGTCTTCCTTAATTTTGTGTCATCTGCAAACCTGGTGAGTGCAGCCAAGTCATTGACAAAAATTTTAAATGGCACAAGGCCAAGCACTGATTTCCTGAGGCTAGAATTCCATAGTCTTTTCTTCTCCTGGCTAAACATAATAAGTCAGTAACCTTAAAATTACTTCCAGCTCTCAGATTTGTGATTCTGTGTCTACTATGGTATACTCACAGACCTTAAGAAATCTGAGGAGAGGAATTTCTGAATTGCTGTTTGTACTCCTCATTCACTCCCTACGCTTTGAATTATTTTCTTTCACTGTGGTCATCTCCCCCATTGGCTTTAAATATGTGGAGTGCAAGCTGTGCATTTTCTTTCTCTTTGTGTACCACTCAGTGCGGTATTCCCTGCTGGGTACAGGGCCCCATACTAGGATCTTAGAGTTGGAAGGGATTTTAGAGATCTCCAATCCAACATTATTTTAAAGGGAAGAAACAGAGACCCAATGTAGGGATGAAATTATTGATGGCAGTACAGTAGGATGCACAATTGAGACTCCAATTCATAAATTGGAGTGTGATTCTTTTGTGAACCTTTTCAGTGGCTTTTTCAAAGATTTCTTAAATAAACACAGGCCGTACTTCATGTACTCAAAACCCCCCAAAATAAAAAACTAAAAAACTAAGACTTCAAATCTAGGGACCTTTACCAAAAAATCATCTGGGCTACTCTCTGTAGTCTCTCAGGAAGCATTTGTTGGATAATAGTGGCTGACGTTTCTGTGTCACTCTAAGCTTTACTTATAACAGTGTTGGAGTGGAGTGGCACAAATATGATTATCCTCCTTTTATAAGTAGGGAAACTGAGGTCCAGATTTAGTGACTTGCACAAAGTCCTGTAAACTAGTAAGTGGCAGAACCAGAACTTGAACTCAGGTCTTTATACTCCAAGACCACTATGGTAGCCTGCCTCCACAAGTTAAGAGATTGATTTTGCCAAATAAGAAACAGACACTTGGTGAAATTATCAGACTTTGTCCTTACAGGTAGGTATTAGAGTTTAGAATTTGAATTCAAATTTCTGAACTTTAACTGCACTGAGAATGAATGAGTAAAGGCCTCTTTCTCTCCATTCCCTCTCTTTCTAGGATGTCAGCAGCAAGGAAAGCCAGCTTGTTAAACACCAGCCACTTAGCTAGTGATTTGTTTTATGATTCCAGTGATATTTCCATAGGAGATATGAGGATGAAAGAAACTCAGAGGGTCCTCAAAAGTGAAGGCCTTGCTAAGACACCATTTAGCCAGAGCAGATTCCTAAAGAGGAAGCAAAATGTTGATGAAAACCAGTTTTTCTTCAAGGGTAGTACTGTAAGGGAGGTGGGGAGCAGGACCTCTTTAAGTAGACCACTGATTACTGCCTCCAAGATCAGGGCTAATGCAGCTTTAATGAAACTAGCACAAATAGAAACTAAAATTATGAGCCGAAAGCTGCAGGTTGATTTGTCTGACATCGATACAGATGGGAAAAGTGCGATGACATTTCTTTGAATCAAAGAGTTGATGCCCTTTCTCTGAAGAATATAAGTGACATTCCCTGGCAATGCAGGGATAAAGTTCCCATTGCTGGTAGCAATGAAAGAGTGAGTCGATTTCTGAAGAAGAAAGGTCCAACCGTTGAAAATATAGCCAGTACAACACAGTTTGGAAATGTCAGGAGTTCTCAACCACCAAAACAGAAAGAGCCTGTTGGAAAGATGGGTTCTCTGGATAGTGATGAAGAGGAAATGAAATTGTTGCTGGGAAACTTCGTGAAGCCTTTCAGTGATAAAGAGAAATCTCAGAAAGCTGTTCTTATGAACACTAAACTTAAAGAGGATGGATATAAGACATTATCTATGGTAAGCTTTTACTCACTTTCCATTTTAAAATGGGATTTTATTTTTTTTGTCCTTTACCAAGTTGTGCTATTAGGAACTTCTTGCAGAAGAAGGTGCCTCTATGTTACTTTAAAAGAATGTTTCATAGGAGGAACTGGGATTTCACTCATTCTACAAACATTTATTATGTACCTGATGTATGTGAAGCACTAGGTTCCAGAGTAAATAAAGCAGTTTTTCCACTCACATACCTAATAAGCCCTTATTTCATAAGGCTGCAATTCTTATGGGTGATCTAAAAGCTTCTGGTGATCTAGGGTTGAATAAGAACTCCTCTGTCTGTCATTTAACAGCCTGGCCCCAGCCTCCCTTTCCAGCCTCATTTTATATTCCTCCTCTTGCCACAACTGGGCAGCTTCTTTCTTATACATGACACTCTGTTTACTTTGGCTGGCAAATTTCTATGACTGAAATGTACTCCCTCCTCATTTCCATTTTTGGCAGTCCTTGGTGTCCGTCAAGTCTTAGCTGAAGCCTTTCCTGATCCCCACAATTACCAGTGCTCTTCTTTACAAACTGCCATATGTTCTGTGTGTATTTAGAGCTGTATGTATGTGCAGTATTCATTGATAGGACGTAAGCTCTTCGAGGGTAAGAATTGTTACATATTTATCTTTGTATCTTTGACATCATGCACTGTGCCTGACATTTAGTAGGCACTTGATACATGTTTGTTGATTTATTCATTTGTTCATTAACGCTTAGGTCATTTGTCAAAAATAGGTGACTAAAGTGAAACAGAATATAAACTCCTTGCAGGCAAGAGTGTTTTCTTTTGTATTTGTATGTCCAGTGCCTTGCATAGATAAATGTTTGTTGAATTGCAGTGGAGAATTGTGGGATCCTGTGGTAGGACAACTTTGGAAGAAAATGTAATAAATCACTGGTTAGAACCATAGGAAGGAAATCCATTATCCATTGTTAACATTTTGGCTCTCACAGAATCTCAGAACTGGACTAAACATCTGAATATGATAGACTTATGTCCTTTCAGATTTGTATTTGAGATAGAGAAGTTGCCTCTCTCTAATTTAATGGTTTAATGTTAACATGGCAGCATTTTTTGGTGAAATATCTGAAGTTAATTACCATAAATTTTGTTTCCTTGAAATTAGGACGAGATTCTGAGTCCACCAGGTCCACTTTCTCCACCCAGTGAAGAATTTTCCAGGCTCAAGCTTTTTCGAACATTATGCCTGCCTGAGGAAAGCTGTCAAGAAACAGCCTCCCATAATGGCCCTTCAAGAACTCCTTCCCCACAGAATGACTTTTCAGCTAACAAAACTTTAAGATCATCATCACTTTCGATAATGCATTACTTTTCAAGGCCGACGTCCCCTAAAATGGAACACATAAAACTAGCATTCTCACCTGAGGAGACTGAAATTGGATCATTGGATGAGTTACTCTCTGAAGCATCCAGTGATAGCTTAAATGGTAACGTTTTGTCTAATATGTTATTTATTATAAGCTGAATTATTATTACTCCAAACATAAGGCCAGTATTTCTATATCCATTTAACAAAAATTTATTATACATCTTCTATGTGCAATGTATCGTAACATGTCCTGGGGATACAAAGATAAAAACAGAGCGGTCCCTGCCCTCAAAGAGTAATTCCTGGTGAGAAAGCACTAGTAGTGGGAGTCTGCAGATGAGCCTCCTGGAGGAAGGTGATACTTGCCCTAATAGAACAATACCCCTCAAAGTAAGCCTGGGAACCTCCTTTCAAGGGTTCTTGACTCCCAACAAAGAAACTGGGTAAAGGCTAGATCCAAGTAAAAAGTAATTTAATGGAGTTTGCAAAGGAGAAATTCACTTGTATTTTTAAATTTAGTAAAAAACTCAGTCAATATGAATACATACTTGGGTTCAGTATTAGGGCCAAAAAGATAGAATGGAATGGGAAGAAAGATGGTACCTGAAGATTATGTTTGGAAACATTTATTTTCTTGCTCTGCGACTTAAAAAATTTTTCCCAATAAAAACCAAATCAAATGTGAAGCATCTATTCCTTCCATAACCCTGTACCAGGTCAGGCACGTGTACTTGGTGTACCTTATGAGAAGTACGATCCAGCCTCCTATTACTCTTGTCCCATTGGTTGTATGTGGGGAGATTTGGGGTGGGGGAAGGAGAAAACAAAAGGTAGACGCTAGATAATAATCAGCCCTTTGAGTGGCAGTTTAAGACAAAATAGAAACTGTATCACAAGGCAGTGATGTGCAATTCCTGTTTGGGAAGAGATGTATTCCAACTACATACTTGGTTGTCATAAACTTTGTTACCAGTAGTAGAAATTATATCGGTAGCATGGGGATCAAGAACCAGACTTTCTGCCCTTTTCCAGATGGAAAGGCCACACAGACCCTAGTGCATGCCTGCACCTGAAGTTGCACCCTGACCTCCTCGTTGTCTGCTGAATTTACTAGTGATGCTTTGCTGAGGATGCCACAGCTTATCCCTGTTCTCCTCTCCCTGTGTAGGCCGGCTGTTGAAGGCTTTGGTTTGAGTAGAGCAGATGTTTCTTGAGGGGGAAAGGCTCTTTGTTTTTTGTCCTTGTATGCCTGATGTGTAGCCCTGTACTTTGCACAGAGAATGTACATTTTCAAATGCTTGCTTCATTATTATTGCTAATATAATAATAGCAGCATTAATGTAGTGCTTGAAGGTTTACAAAGTGCTTTACGTATGAGCTGTCATCAGATCCTAACAACAACCCTGTGAGATATTATCCCAATTCTAGAGTAATACAGCTTATAAGTATCTGGCACAGGGTTAAACTTGGACGTTTCTGACTCTCGAGCCTGATACTCTATCCACTGTGTCATCTAGCTGCCTCTTATGGAACTGAGTTTCTTTCCAGATGATTTTTTTTTAAAACACGTGGTATTGCTGTGCATGGTTAATTGCATATCAACTATATAAACAGTAATGCTGTGGGAAGTCTGAGGACAGAGGTAGCTTTAGGATAAAATGAAGTGGTCGGGGAAGACGTTCTCAGTGAGGTGAGATTTGGTTTGAATACTGAAGAACAGATGGGATCCAAATAGTTATAGGAGAGCCAAGAAGCAGTGTCATCTCCTGTAGTTCTTGCAGGGCGCTGGCTTCAGTTGAACCTTACTTTTTTCTCCCATGGAACATTAGCCCTTTTTCTGCTCTCAAAGAACTGGGTCCTGGAGATGTGAAGACTGATTTTCCACGTGTCAGAAAGTCTGGGAACATGAGGATTAGAACAGGCTCTTGATTCCCAGTTTTCTCCTCTCCCTGTAACTTTGCTGTTGTCGTGTTTATAAAAATGATATGCTTAAATGATTGTTTACCTTACACTTTAAAAAATTATATTTTGGTTTCACATTGTAACCAATTCATCTTTCAATGACAGATTTTAAAATAAATATTCTATCCCTTGATGATTTGGCTCCAGATGATGTCAGTGAGAAAGCAAAACTTGGTCAAAAAGTAAGTAAAGACAGAAGCTGATTTTTGTTTTAACAGTCATATGGAAGAGTTGTTAATTGTAGTGGGCTGCATTTAGGTAACAACAGGATAAGACAGCCTTGTTTAGCAAATGAAGAATACTTGCTATAACTGAATTGCTCTATAAATATTTCATGCCAAAGACATGTAAAGCAACACTTAAAGGACTTTAATTGTAATAATATAGTTTCATAGATATTCTAATATATGGTATTACATTTGTAAGACTTACTGTAAATAGTTACTGTTTTAAATAAGGATAAGGGACTGGACCTTGGACCTTGGAATTTTTTGTTATAGGGAATTCCTGGGAGTGGAAACATCCTCTACTAATGTAGGTTAGCATCTTCTCTGCAGCTTATAAGTCTTAGAGTTATCTAGACCAGGGCTTCTTAAACTTTTTCCATTTGTGACCCATAGTTTAAGAAGTCTAGACCAGGGGTGTCAAACTCAGATAGAAATGGGGACTGCTAATTGGTGCATGAGGATCCCTGTGGCTGCATGTGGACTTAGAAAAACACGTATTAACATTATCTATGTCCTATTGTATTTTTATTTATTTTGTTAAGTAAATTCCCAACTACATTTTAGTCTGGTTTGGGCTGCACTGGGAGCACTCTAGCGGATGTTTGACACTTCTGAAGAGGTTGATTTGGCCAGCCAGTATGCGTCCCGTAGGCCTCGAACTCCATTCTTGCTGGCTGCAGCCACCATGGCATGCTGCCTTTTATGTTATATCATATGCATTAGATGTGGGAGGCAGCATGATGTAGTCAGAAAAGCAGGGTGTTTGGAGTTAGCGGACCTGGGTTTGAATTATAACACTCGCCTGTTACCAGCATGACCCTGGAGAGGTTGCTTCCCTATTTTGGGTCTCAGTGTCCTCTTCTCAAAATGAGGCAGTTGGATTAGATGGTCTCCCTTTCAGCTCTAAATCCATAATCCTAATCTTTTAGAGATAACTTTCATAGTCCCTACCTCCAAGTCACTTTTTTTTTTAATTTTAGGAAAACGATCACAGAATAAAACAACCAAGCAAAGAATTACAAACAGATGTGTCAATTATAAAAAGTATACAGAAAAGAAATGCCAAAGAAATGAGCCCAGAGACAAGTGTGAACATTACTTCTATTGCTACTGAAGAGGAAAGTCACACTGCAAATGAAATATATGAGGATGTGAATGAGGAGTCTGTCACCTTTTCTAGAGAGGAGAGTATTTCCAGCAGGAGGTCACCATCTCCTAAATTTCAGGAGAGTACTATAAACTCAGTGTATTCTGAAGATTTTGAAAAATCTCCAACTTCCACAGTATCTGGGCAGACAGCCTGCTCCCAAGAGTCATTAGACAAGACACTGGAGTCTTTGTCTGAAAGCCCTTCATATTCTCAAAGAGACCTTCCCACAGAGTCAGAAGGGCCTGCTCAGAAATGGAGAGAGAATGTAAGGAGACTCTTAGTGAAAGAAGTGGCTGTTCAGACTTATGATCCTGCATTCACCTACAGCTGGACAAAGGGTGAGTGTGGGTTTGACTAGTGAAAGTCTCCACAAGTGCTGTTCTAAGGCAGGTGAAGGAACCTAAGCTGCTACATGTGTCAGTTCTGGTTTCAATTATGTGTTCACCATTCTGTGCCAGCCATACAAACACTGCCGATCAGCAGAATTAGGCCTGGACCTGGAACAGAAGATCTGGGTTAGTGTCATAGTCCTGCTACCAACCAATTAGTTATGTGACTTTGATTGTCACTTAAGTCACCTCTGGGCCTTGTTTACTCATTTATCAAGTGAAAGGGATTAGACCAGAATCTGGTGGGAGAATTCTGTGAAATTTGGATGCAGTCAAAGGGCCACACTTGAGGACCTAGAGGGCCACATGTGGCCTTGAGGCTGAGGGTTCCCCACCCCTGGACCAGATGATCTCTAAGGCTCTGTCTAACTATAAGATGTGTTGGAATTGAGTTAATGTCAGTGATCTACTCAGCCCCATGTTCTGACTCTTAACAGGCACCTAATGTATATTTTATAGGAGAGCTTGATTGCTTCCCCTGACAGCTGCCTCACTGCCTTTTGGTAACCTGCTTTGTATCTTTCGTTCATGAATCTTTGATAGTTCTGAGCACACAATAGTTCTTAATCAATACTTAATAAATAAATTCAGGATAATGAGTTCCATAAGTTTACTGCCTAGTTTATAAAGTGATAGTTGCTTTTATTTACTTGGAGACTTCAGACTGCCTTGAGACCCTCAGATTCTGGTGCCTCATTTTGTGAATTTGTGAATGAGACATACCTATCATGGTTTCATAAAGCCTCAGTCACAGGACCAAAGGTCAGGAGTGGGAAGGGCTCTCAGGGGCCGTCTGGTCCAGCCCTTTCATCTTGCAGATGAAGAAACTGAAGCCTAAGGAAGTGAAGTGACCCACTGAGGGTCACAGGGGTGAGAAGGAAATCAGAGAAACCTGGATCCCACCTTTTCTGTCCTAGGGTTAGTTATCTTACCCTTATATCATGTTACCATTCACAAAGCCTTTGTCTTTCTGGACTGAAAACAGCTAGTATTTTAAGATTGTATTTTCTTCTCCCTTCCCATTTAGATAAGCAATGAATAACTTGATAGACATTTTGGGGAGAGTGAGAGAGGAATATATATTTTGCTACCTGTCATGTTCAGCTTGATTTTAATTTATAATATAAAAGGTAGATATGACCAGTAAGTGCTAGAGTTCCAGTTGATTGCCATGTTCTTGTTAACTTTCAAATAGAGGTGAAAAGATCTGGTTCAAGTTAGGAATCTACTACTTTCTGCCATACTACTTTGTGAGGCCTTCAGCAGGCCTCAGTTTACTCAACTGTAAAATGAGGGGGTTAGATTAGAAGGTTTCTAAGGATGTTTTTAGCTCTAAGTCTCTGATCAGTGAGCCCGAGGGTAAGGAAGGGGAGGGAATTAGTGCTGATATAGTGCCAACTGTGTGCCAGGCACTGTGCTAAAATGCTTTACAAATATCTCATTTGATAAGTAATTTACCTCATTCAACAAGTAACCTCCAGTCTGTGAGGATAACAGTATTTATACACTCTACCTCATAGGGTTGATGTGAGTATAAATGAAATAATATATGTAAATTTTATTTTAACGGAAATATCATGTAAATGTGAGTTACTATTACATTATAAAAGTAAATCTGACTGTCAAAAATATCAGTTTGTTTGAATGAAATATTGGGAATGCCAGTTTTCTTATCTGGGCATGAATACACAATGCCCAATGACAAAAGTAGAAAGAAAAACTAGGAATCACACAACTTTAGTACTGGAAAGACCCTCAGAGATCGTTGTCATCTTTTGTGTTTTTCAAATGAGAAAACTTAGGGTGAGAAGGTGAAATGACTTGCCTAAGGTTCCAGAGTGAGTTAGGGGCAGAGCTAGGAGGAGAACCCCTGTCTCTCTTGACATCAAGTGTCTTGGAAGCAGAAACAAATGTGCTGATTTGAATTTTGGTTAAAAAAAAACCCAGCAGAGTTTAACATGGTATTTTTGAAGAAAACTAGATAGATCCCTAAAAGACATTGGTACAGAAGATAATCAGAATTACAAATACCATTGGCTTTTCTTTTTTTTTGGGGGGGAAAAAAAACAGCAGCCACTCTTACAGGCATGTAGATGGAAAAATAATACACAAGCATTTGTTAAAGACCTTCCAGGACAGGCTAGTGCTAGAGATACAAAGACCCTGCCCATGGGCACATTGACAAGGGAGATAATAAGCACACACATAGAGAGATACAAAATAGATACAAGATAATATTGGCAAAAAGGCACCGATGGCTGGTGGGATCAAGAAGGGCTTCATATAGAGAAGGTGATGCTTGAGCTAATCCCAGAAGGAAACTAGGGATTCCAAAAGGGAGAGGGGAGAGGGAAAGGCATTTTCATGCGTGGAAGACAGCCGATGAAAAGGCATGGAGTCCGGAGAAGGGATTACATGTGTCAGGAAGAGGACAGACAGTTTTGCTGACCTGAGTGTGTGGAGGGGAATACTGAAATATGTAATAAGACTGGAAGTGGCCCTGAGGCCACTGCGCCAACAGAACAGTTTACTTTTGATCCTAGAGCTAATAGAAGGTCACACGGTCAGATCTGTGTTTTGGGAAAATCACTTTCACATCTGTTGTGAGAGACGTGAAGCAGGGAGACCAAACGCCTTTTAGTTGTCTCAGTCATGTCCTACTTTTGATGACCTCACTTGGGGTTTTCTTGGCAAAGCTATCAGAATGGTTTGCCAGTTCCTTCTCCAGCTCATTTTTACAGACGAGGAAACTGAGGCAAACAAGGTGAAGTGACTTGCCCAGGGTCACACAGCTAGTACGTGCCTGAGGCCAAACTTGAACTCAGGAAGAGGAGTCTTCCTGACTCTAGGCCGGCTACCCACTACCAGCTCTGCCAAGTGAGAGGTCCCAGGGGATCAGAACTGGGATGATAGTTATGTCAGTGGAGAGAAAGTATGGAGCAAATGTAAGATATCTTATGGAAAAAGAAAGATTTGGCAGCTGAATTGCTGTCTGAAGGGAGATTGAGGAGTCAAGAATGCCACTGGTTTTGTTAACCCGGGTGACTGGGAAGATGGTGGAGTCTTGTTTTGGACATACTGAGTTTGAGATGCCTACAGGACATGTAGTTCAGATCTGTCTGTTGGAATAGGCAGAGTGAGACTGGCCGTGAAAGGAAGGCTGATGCTGTTAAATCAGAAAAACCTGAAAGAGGAGTGGAGTCGTAGAAGTTATACACATGGTAAGAGAGAGAAGAGCAAAAACGAATTTCTAAACGATTTTATTATTATTCCCTTCAAGTCCTCTACAAGTGCATCACCGTGGAATTAAGGTGACTGGGTTCTTAAAGACTGGTAGAGAGGCATGTGAACTCCAGGAAGTCCTGTCTCCTGTTGACTTAGAAGGGATCTTAGAGGGCCGTCTAGCCCACTTCCCTCATTTTACAGAGGAGGAAAATAAGACAGACCTTAAGTCAAGTAACTAGTTAGTATTCAAACCCAGTTCTTCTTGACACCACGCCTCCAGTGCTGAATCCACTTTACCATCTGAGGACTTGCGCCTTATGCTTGGAAAAGCCTACTCACCAGACTGCTTGTCATGGCGTAATCTTTTTGGCTAAAGCCATTCTTTTTTTTTTCTTTTTAGTGAGGCAGTTGGGGTTAAGGGACTTGCCCAGAGTCACACAGCTAGTGAATGTTGTGTGTCTGAGGCCGGATTTGAACTCAGGTATTCCTGACTTCAGGGCCGGTGCTCTATCCACTGCGCCACCTAGCTGCCCCTGAAGCCATTCTGAAGAGACTGTCTACTAAGTCATCCAAGTGTTGTAGTTTATATCAATAGATGGAGTCATCACAAAAGACAAGGCCTTGAAATATCCAAGTCTTTACTAGTCATGATATTGGTGACTTATAGAAAACAGAGGAGAGGTGACCTAAGCTGTGACAAGTATCTGTTGTATTGCTGTGAAAAACATTGTTATTTTTCAACCCACAATCTATATAGGTCAGAACTCTAACCTTTTGTCCTTTAAACTATAGAGAGTGTGGCAACCATTGGCCCAAGTCTGGGGAGAGCTTATGTGGATCCTGAACCTATTGCCAGTCATGTGATTAGTGCTGATGCAATAGAAGGTAAAGGCCCTCAATTTATTATATTTTATATCACTTTTATTATTATAAACTTAATGTTCAAAACAAATACTAATAAATAATTTAACTAAATATGGGATTAATTCTCCAAATAAAACTCCTAAACTTGGACTATTTCTATTTTTAATTAAACTTTTAAAATTATATGAAAACCTACCTTCTAACAAAACACTAACAACAGACCTCAATACATCTGGCTCCCTGTTGCCTTTTAAATCTTCCTCTGTCTGTCCTTTCAAAAAGCATATACTTGTAGTCATTGTTTACATTGTTCCTATTTTATTTACTATATTTTGAATCACTTTGTAGACTTGTTATTATATTTCCTTTCCATCATACTTGTAACTTGGTAGTGCCATAATGTTATTTTGCATATAACAAAATAATACAAGAGATTTTCCCCAGTACATTAGACACACAAGTTGTTTTCAGTATTATAGATAAAAAGGGCTTCTTTGGGGGGTACAGATAAATTCTTCCCCTTCCCTCACCTTTTTTTTTTTTAAGGCACTTGGGGTTAAGTGACTTGCCTGGAGTCACACAGCTACTAAATGTCTGAGGCTGGATTTTAACTCGGGTCCTCTAGGACCGGTCCTGCACCACCTAGCTGGGCTTGTGCTCCTCCCCACCTTAATGATATCTTTAGAGTAAAGATTCTTCAGTGGCATCACCGGATGAAAGGGTATAAGTTCCAGGGGTGGGGAACCTGTGACCTCAAGGCCACATGTGACCTTCTAGGTCCTCAAATAGCAGCTCTTTGCCTGAATCTAAACTTCATGGAACAAATCCCCTTAATAAAAGAATAAAATTAGGACTCAGTCAAAAGGCTGCACCCAAGGACCTAGAAGGCCACAGGTTCCCCATCCCTGGCAGAGTTGAGCAATTTTTATTGTGTGTTGCCAGATTCTTCTCTAGAAAGTCTGCACCAGTCTCATAATTCTATGCCTGTTTCTCTGCAACCCTCTGCCCCTACTCCAACATTTTATCTTTGATACATTTTACTACCAGTGGTATATCTATAAATTCCACTGATGTTCTACTCTGCCTCACAAAGGCATAGAAGTGGCCTTGGATTCTTAACTGTTACTGTTTGCACAGAGAAGTACAAAGTCTGGCCGGCCCTCTACAGATGAAAAGTTTTGAGTGCAGCACCAGACTCTGTGTCTTAATCTAAGAGCCACCACAGCTTATGAAGAGGCTTATTCCCTGAAGGTTTGGGATCTGCATTCCTAAAAGGAAAAACCCATAAAAGTGACATTATCGAGTCTTCTGAAGTGTTGAAGTGTGATAATTTCATAAAAAGTAGCATTGACTCTTGGCTGTTCAGCCTTAGTCGTTTAGAAAAACTTTTACCCATGGTTTTTTCCAGTGGCTTAGGTAATTGCAAGAATATGCTTATTAAATGTTAATTAGTAGTTGTAATTAAAACTTCAGTTTCAATAGCTAGGTTTTATGTATATATAGTTTTTGAAATTCACAGAATCTCAGAGTTGGAAGGGATCTTGTGGCTATCTAGTCTGACCCCCTACCTAAAAAAAAATTCTATCTACAGCAGAACTCACAAGTGGTTCTTTCTCCTTTGCTTAAAGACCTCCAATTGAATTCCTCTTGAAATCAGCTGAAGCTACTTCTAGGTAGCTCTCATTGTTAGGAAGCTTTTCCTGGCATCAGACCTAAATTTGTCACCTTCTAGCCACTGTTCCAAGTTCTCTTCTCAGGTACCAAAAAGAACAAGATTCATCCCTCTTCCGTCCGACAGCTCTTCAGATATTTGAAGACAGCTCCCGTGTCTCCCTTACGATGTCTCTTTTCTCAGCATCCTTAAATTCCTTCTGTTGAGCCTCTTAGGGCACAAAGCTAACACCTTTCACTATTCTAGTTGTCCTCCTCTGGAAACTCTCCAACTTTTCAAGGTCCTTCCAAAAATGCGGCACCCAGAAGTAAACGCAACGTTCCAGATGTGGTTTGACCAGGGTAGAAGATGGGAATGATGGCATCCCCACTGGTCTTGGTATCTATACCTCTCAAGTCAGCCTAAAATCACGTTAATCTATTTGGCCATCATAACACTGTTGACTCACATTGAGCTTGCAGTTTCTTAAAACTCCCATATACTTGTATCTAGTCATGCCTCTCCTATATTTTACTTATGAAGTTGATTTTTTTGAGCCCGTGTAAGACTTCACATTAATATCTATTAAATTTCAAATTACAATAACATTTTACTTATTTCAGTCTTCTAGTCCATCAAGACCCTTTTGACTATTGACTCTGTTATCCAGTGTGTTAGCTATGTTTCCCATTTATTTATTCCCAGCTTTGTGTCACATGCAGATTTGATAAGTCTTTAACCAAGTCTTGGATAAAAATGTTAAGCAGCACAGTGCCAAGCATAGAAACCCTAGTGTATGCTATGGGAGACCTCTTTCCAAATGATTCTTTTGTGCTGGCCATCCAACCAGTTTCATAGCCTCCTCTCTGTACAATTATATATTGGCTTGTATATATCTGTCTTTTATACAATAAAAGTATGACAGACTCTTAGGTCCTTTGCTATAATCTAAGTAAATTATGCCTATGTCCTCCTGATCTACAAGTTTGGTAAGCTTGTTAGAAAAAAGATTAGGCAGACACAACCTGTTTTTGTAATTGTTGTTTCTTTTTTTCACTAACCATCTTTTTATTTGTATTTTGGGTTATTTTGGCTAGGCAGTGGGGTGAAGTGACTTGCCCAGGGTCACACAGCTAGTAAGTGGTATGTGTCTGAGGCCGGATTTGAACTCAGGTCCTCCTGACTTCAAGGCTGGAGCTCTGTCCACTGCGCCACCTAGCTGCCCCCACTAACCATCTTTTCAATTATATAATGTAGAGTTCTGCCAGAAATCAGAATCAGGTGGCGCAGTGGATAGAGTACCAGCCCTGGATTCAGGAAGACCTGAGTTCAAATCTGGGCTCAGACACACAATAACACTTACTAGCTGTGTGACCCTGGGCAAGTCACTTAACCCCATTGCCTAAACAAACAAACAAACAAACAACAAAACCAAAAACAGAAATCAGAATCAAGCTTCCTAGCCTGTATTTTGCAGCATCAATTCTTTGGCGACCCCCCACCCCCCAGTCTTTTTAAAATCAGGTTCTGTAGTGCCCCCTCCCATTTTCTGTAATCTGTCCAAGGTCACTAACAGTGGCTCAGCAATTATACACTAGTTCCTTTCAGCAGGTCATCTGGGTCAGGTGATTTGAACCTTTCCAGGGCAAGCTGAGTGCAGTGTTACTAGCTCCTTTCTTACGTATCAGCTAGGAAGTTAGCCATGTTTGTTCTGTCCTTTCAATCTGAAACATATTCTCTTTAGCAGAGAAAACATTAGGAAAATGAGACTTCAGCACCTGTTCGTTCTCTTTTATTAGTTGCTATCACCCGTATACCCTGAGTAGCAGTCCTGCACATTTGGTGATCCTCCTCTTTTTCTCAATATAGTTGGAAACAAACAAAAACCAAACCCTTTTTGTTGTCTTTAGTTTTCATCCTGAGCTTTAGTACTCTTGACACTATTCAGTAAATTCTTATCCCAGCCATTGTTAGGTAAACTACGTTTCTGGCCAAGAGCTGGTCATTTCTATGGTATTTTAAGCTGTGGGCCAGAAATCCAAATTCCATTTTCAAACATCCTTTTCTTAACCAGCTGTTCCCTTCCCAATGTGGCTGTTCTCTTGGGAATCCCTCGCCTTCAAAGGGCAGCAGTGAAGAAACTGACGCCGCCTGTGTCCCTAAGGCCTTCGCTTTCCTGCTGAAAACTCTTTGTTCTTTGATAGTGCTCTTTCCGGAAGTATCCTTTTTGTCCAAGTGAATCATCAGCTGTTTTGTCAAGTCTTAGAAAATTCTTTGTCCTGCCTTGGACACCTGACCCAGGAAAACAGCAGATGTGGACTCGTCCTCAGAGTGCAGGGGTCTGGTGCATGCTCAGACTACCTCAGATTAAGTCTCCACATGACGAATGCTGGGCAGAAGGCAGTGCCTCCTTCTAGGAGAGGACGGGGCTCTTTGGTTGCAGAGGCATTCAGAAAATCCTCTCAGTTTCCACGATGGTCTCTTGGGGCAGCTTGGTGACTCGAGAAAGGAGTAGAGCCTCAGACCTGGTGAGTCTGACAGATCCAGAGGGCTTCCTTGATGTCTCGACATTCCACAGGTCGGGTTTTGTAGCTAGAGCAACATCAGTGTCCTAAGGTGTGAAGAGAGCAGAACCTCCTCTGGCATCCTGTCATTGATGTTGATGTCCTGAGAGATGAAGAGTGGTTTCAGTGAGTGACCTTCAGGAGTCCAGCTGTGGTAGCTGAGAGATGCTCGTATGCCATATCTGTATGTGAACTTGGTGGGGCTGGTGCTGTGTGGGAACTGGGCTAAGTTTTTGGCCTAATCTTCCTTCTCCTCCCCAGACTGAGGTGGAATACAGGGAATTATGCCCTTGAGGTATTAGGGAAATGCTTTTCTATTTATTATTGATATTTCTATGAAGAGGCTATCCCTTTGAAAAGCCAGTTGATATTAAGCTGTTAAATGGAACTGGGGCTTTAGGCATTGGCCCCCTACAAATGGGGGAAATAGCTGGTGGGGGACTGTGAAAGACTCAGGATTCAATATCTGATGCTTCTTTCCTGTTTCATGGGTGGAAATGCCTTGAATGTTATGTCCAAAAAGCCAAGCAAAAGAATTACCTCTCTAGTATACTAACAAGGTGACTTACCTCTGATTGATGGAAGGATGACAGTAGTGCTATTTTTAACTTCATAACTTCATATCAGCATAAAATCTTTTTTAAAAAAAATGTTTACAGCTCTGACAGCCTATAGTCCTGCAGCCTTTGCTTTGAATGACATGTTAAAACAGCAGCTGACATTGACAAAGCAGTTTATGGAAACCAGCCGGTATCTGCATTTTTCTCTCCTGAAGTCCCTGGAAGATGACACATTCCATTATCATACATTGGAAGAAGTTAAAGAGGTAAGTCTAGCACAAAACTCCTGTTTTGGGGTGGGAGTGGCAAACATGTTCTATTCTAGATTGCAGCCTGAAGTCACACCTTTGGTCAGTTTGGCCCTGGGGCTTATGAGATGTCCCTTTGAAATGCTGGTGAGTTGTGGGGAAGGCTTTTGTCCCTTGACAATCCTGTGTTCACCTTTGTGAAAGGATCAGGGTTGATAAATGAGCGTGTATCCTGGGTGCACGAGGCATTTGAAGTGTCCATGGACCACAGGGAAAGGACCAAGCCTGCCAGCATTTCAAGCATGGTGAGGAGTGGATTAAAGGGAGTGTGGTTGAAGACCATCATCATTCATCACCCACATGTGATCCTTGCAAGCTGAAAGAATTTCAGGTGGGAAAAGGACTGTTTGCATTTAGCAAACATTAAGCATTTTCTCTACCAGCTTGGTACAGAGGCTAGGCCCTGGGGAAGATGTGAATTTAGGTAAAACTGGACTTCTCCACATGGGCTTATGTGGTCTGTTGGGGTGGTAAATTGATATCTGTAATATCTATTAGATAACTATGCTAGAAATTCACCAAAGTGCTACGTGACATGAAATAGTGGCAGGGAATTAGATGGCACTGGATTATGCAGGATGCTGAATGCTAGGCAAAAGAATTTGAACTTGACTTGGTAGGTAGTAGGTGGAGAGCTACTGAAGTAGCAGAATGACATGACCAGATTATAATCTGTAATGGCCAACAGCCAATGGCCATTTAGAGAATACTTGGTAAACCTTAATGTGCTTTCTTCACAATAACTTTATGTGATCGTTGGTACAGGTAAGAGTTAATATTTCCATTTTGAAGTTGAGGCAGTGGAGGCTCAGGTTAGATGACTTGGCCATGGTCACACAAATAAGAGGTGGAGCCTGGATTCGAACTCAGGTCCACAGGACTGGAAGAGGCAGCGTGGAGACAGGAAGGCTTTTTCACTAGCCAGGTGACTGGTAATAAGGTTAGCACTGGTACAACTTCTAGGGAACCTGTAGCTGTGGGCAGTAGGAACAGAAAGGAGCAGATGAAAGTGAGAGTTGTTTCAGGGGAGGAATTGACAGGGACAGAGTAGTTCCTCATTTCCATCAAGTGGTCCATGTTTATGTATGATACTGGACAAAAGTGGAACGTGTTTTACATCTTGGGGAATTTTGTGGTATTCAGTCAGATCCCATGGTTCCCCTCTCTCTGGCTCACTATCCCCAGAGCACAGACTGACCATTAGCCATTTTGTAACAACTGCAGAATCTGAAAGTTGGAAGAGATTTCTGTGGCAGTTTAGTTCAAATTACACACAAAAAGAAACCGTATTACAACATACTTGATAGTGGTCATCCAGTCCAGCCTCTGCTTGAAGACCTGTGAGGAGGAGCGACTCAACCTCTTGAAATGGCAGAGTCAACTTTTGGACAAATCTGTTTGTTAGGAAGTTGTTCCTGACATCAAGCTTGAGATCACTCTTTGCCTACTTTAAAAGCACTATGTATAAATGCTAGCTATTACTGCAAGCTATTAAGTTTTCCTCTTTGCAACTTCTATCCACTACTTTGGGTCTGTCCTCTGGAGCCAAACAGAACAAGTCTAAACCCTCCTTCGATGACTGCCCTCCAGATACCTTAAGCTAACAGTGATGTACCCAGATGTTTCTTTTCTAGGCTAACCATGCCCAGCTCCTTCAACCAAATGTCATCTACTTCTTGGTCATTTCTTCACCAACCACCATGGCCCCCAGAGCAGCATCCAAGCCCTGGAGACTTAACATTTTCCTGATGTTCAGTTCAGTTCAGTACCTAGAACTCCTGCCCTGGTGCCCTACCATCCTGACCAGTGATTGTCTCCTTCAGTCTCTACATCTAGTCCCTGAGCTCCAGCCATATTTCAGTTCACTTTCTGGCCATTTTTCCTCCAGCAGGCATGCTACTCCAGCACATTTAACCTTTTCTCTCCACCTCCTTCTGTTTCAGTTCTGGAGCTATAATCAAATCAAGTCATTGCTTCCACTATGGCTCTAGTCACCATCTGTGTAACTTTGCAATGCAAAGTATCTCATTTGGCTACCATTCCCACATATGGATATACTTCCTCCTATATTAGAATGGAAGCTCCTTGAGGGAAGCAATGGTCTTGGCTTTTGTATTTGTTTCCCCAGACCTTGACACATAGGAAGTATTTAAGAAGTGCTTTCTCATTTAGTCACATGACAGAGATTCAAGTCCCTTTACCATCCTGATTACCCTGTCCCGATACTCTTCCCTCTTATCAGTATCTTTCTTAAACCACATCTCCCTAGAATTGAACACAGTAATCCACATGAGGTCTAATGAGGGAAGAGTACAATGGGACTCACACGTCCTTATTCCTGGAAGGTACGCCTCTCTTAAATGCAGTCCAAGACTGCATTCACTTTTGTGGCTGTGACTCACGCCTACTGCCTCATATTGAACTTGTAGTCCACTAAAACCCCTGGAGCAATTATTGCCTAACCAAGCCTCCCCAGTTTATACTTGTGAAGTTAATGTTTTCTATCCAAGTATGAGACTTTACACTTTACATCTATTGAATTTTATCTTCATTAGCCAAATGCTGTAGCCGGTCAAGATCCTTTTGGATCCTGACTGTCATCCACAGGAGGCAGCACAGATCAGGTGAGTCAAACTACTGCCACCATCTCCTCTAAGACTTTGGAGATAAGTCTTCGAGACTGCAATCCCCAAAGTTCTGGGAATAGCAGGGTCTGCTGCCATCCTGGCCCCCACAGCCATCACTAAGGAGAGCAACTCCAGGGGAGAAGGGTCCTATCACCTTTGATACTATCAATATGACTTGCTGACAAACTGCCATCACTCAATAGGTGAGCCCCAAACAACTCTCGTACCACTGGCCCTTCTTGGTAGCCATCAACCATAGAGTCAAGCCTTGTGGAGATGCGACCTGGCAGCTGCTTCTGCAGGTGCTGCAGCCCTCACCTCCTCAACAGCCATAGCTCCTGAAGACCTGGAAAAGAAATTTCTCAACACCAAAGTCCTTGGCAGTGGCAAATGGTTCAAGATCAGAAATGAATAAATATAGTTTTATTGTCAGAAGAAATTAAAGAAAATTATTACCATGCTTTTGCCACTGTGCTATAAGGACCATGGGATCCTTCCATCTGACTTGCAGCTGAAACCTACATTTGTTGCTCTCTCCTCCCCTTAAAATGTGACCTTATTAAGAGTAGAGTCTATCTTCCCTTTATATTTGTATTCCCAGGGCTTAGTACAGTGCTTTGCACATAAAACCTTTCTATTTAGTGTATTAACAATTCTTTCTGGCTAACAGTGTCATATGCAATGTGCTGAGCACGCTGTCTACACATTGGCCAAACCTGGATCCCTAGGGTACCCTCCTGCATACCTCCTCCCCTGCTGGCATAGAACCATTAACAACTCTGCGCTTTGAGTCCTGTCACCCAACCCGTTATGAATCTCTCCAATTATATTATTGTCTAAATCTATTTCTCCAATTTCTGTCAAAAGAATATCATAGGATAAGAAGCTTTGCTAAAAAATCTAGAACAGTAGTTCTCCAAGTGTGATCCAGGGATCCCCTAGGAATCTGTCCCCAAGAGCCTTTCAGGGGGTTCTTGAGTCAAACCTTTTTGTAATAATACTAAGGTATTTTTATTTCTAATACAACATGTGTTAATAGATATAACCCACATAGACAAAAGTTCTTTGGGGGCCTTGATAATTTTTAAAATTATAAAAGGGTCTTGAGACTGAAAATCTGGGAACCACTGACCTATAATAGTCTTCATCTACTCATTTAGTAACTGTCAAAAGAAAAAAAAAAGAAAAGGAGGTTAGTTTGATATGACTTGTTATCAAATACATGCTGATTTTTTGTAATCACTGTTTCCCTTTCTAGATTCTTACCTACCTCTCTTTAATGATCCATTCTGGAATTTTCCCAGGAATTAGTCAACTTGCTGGCCTATAGTTTGCAGATTCTAGTCTCTTGAAAATCCGGAGCACCTACATGAGGCCTCCAGTCTTATGTGACTTCTCTCATTTCACATGATCTTTCAGATATTACTGTTGGCCCTCAGGCATCACATCTGCCAGTTTGTTCACTGCCCAAGATTTAAGTTTATCTCTGGCAGGTGATATGAATTCATCATGATGCCTTCTTACTTATCTTGGGTATCAGCACCCTCTTAGTCATTTTTGTTCAGTTGTTTCCTGTTGCAAAAGGTCATTGTCCTTGGTTGAGAAAATAGAAGCCAGTCAGAATGGAGCTGCTGTTAGTCATCATTATTCCATCCACCCTGAGCAGAGGTCTTGGGCCTCCTGGAGCCTGTCTCCCCCAGTATAGCTAACACTTCATTCTGCTGTCCTGGCCGTCCTTTGCCAGCATTAGCGTTCCTGATGCTGTCTTCAGTCTCATGGCGTGCTCTTCTGTTTAATGTTACCTGGCTGGTTGGAGAGTTCCCTGTGCATCAGCATCATTCTCTTCTGAACAACCCTATTCTTCCTCTTCATAGGTAGTTTCCCTCTTTGACTTTAAAAGTGATTTTGGAGCTTTTCCCATCTCTTCTGGGCTGACTTTCCGTTAGTCAGTAGGATCCTTTCTGTTGTTCTTCTGAAACCTTTGAAGTGTCTTGCCCAGATCTAGCTACCTGGTAGACTGTACCTGGATTCCCCAACCCCCCAAACTAGTATCACTACTGTATCATACCTCATGGATCAAATGAGATCATATTTTAAAAGCACTTAGCACAGTGCCTGGCACATAACAGGCATTTATTTCCACCACTCCCCTCCATCCCCAAGTGTTGTCTCCCAAACTCACAGAATCAGAATTTGAGTAGTCATCTAGGCAGAGTGGATAGAGCATTGGACTTGGGAGTCAGAAAGACCTGAGTTCAAATCCTGCCTCAGATACTTATCAGCCGTGTGACCCCGGGCAGGTCACTTAATGGCTCTTAGTTTCCTCTGTAGAATGGGGATATTATCTACCTCCTTCATTGATCAGTGAGAATGAGACAATAAACGAAGCAGTTTGCCGACCTTGAATAAAGTGCGGTGTGTTAGCTGTTGTGATGATTAGCAGCTGCCAGTCCCTGAAGAGCTAGTATTGGCAGTTGCTGTTATTTTCCCAAGGTCTCTCTCTCTCTCTTCTGTTGCTGCTTATCTGAGAAAGCAGAGATAATGTCTAGCATTTTTTTTGGACAGCTGTGCTTCCAGTGTTGATGTAGAAAGGACTTTACTGTTTACCATGTAAACGATTTAAGGTCAGATATCCAACACTGCGAATAGACTTACTAGAGATGTCTAGGTGATAAAGCTAACAGATTTCTGGTTATCTTACAGTATATTAGGAAGCACAAGTCACCACCACTGACAATTGAGAAAGCTTTGGAGGAAGTTGTGAAGGAAATGTCGGATCACTGAGCTGAATATAGATTTGCTTCCAATATAGGTAAGGTTTGGATCTTGAAAACTAAGTTATTCAACTCATCAAGCCTACTATGCTATTGTGATCACATCCCAGAGCATCATAGGAATTAGAACTGGAAAGGAAACTGCCCAAGTTCCTAAAGCTCTCTGAGCTCTAGCACAGAGGGCAAGTAACTTCTTCAAGGCCACACAGGTACCAGACACACAATTCAAACTTGGGTCCTCTGATCCCAAATCCAGTGCTCCTTCCACTTATATTGCATTGTTAAGTCTCATTATCCATCTTAGATCTATAAATGTAATTACATTTTATATAATTTCTCCCATGTGGTTTAAGAGGACTAGGCCAGAATCATCAGAGATCCACGTCCCAGTACTGGGAAACAAAATCTCAATTGGCCTATTCAGGTTTCCCAATCAGTCCTGTTCTAGCCTTTCAGGAGGGTTTTTCCTGACTCTGTGGTCAGCCTTTTCATAGGATTTAGAGTGATTACTTATTTAACGAGTTGTTATTAAGCCCCTCCTATGTACCAAGTTCTAGGACAGGTGCTGGGAATACACAGGCAAAAAAAGTTTTTGCCCTTGAGGAATTTACCCTCTCCTGGGGGAAAACAAAATGTACACGGATAATACAAAATAAGTGCACTGTAACTGTGCATGGGGTTTGGGGAGTCCTAACAGCTAAAGGCATCAGGAAAGATATTTAATACAAAGTAGGGCTTGAGGCGAATCTTGGCATGAACTAGGAATTCCAAGAGATGAAGGTGAAGAGGGAGAGGACGTGGGGACATGGTCAAAGGCATGGAGGTGAGAGGTGATCTTATTTCCTCTACCCCAGATCACACAGGTAATGTGACTATAAATCCAGTGTTCTATCTAGTGCACATGTTCAACCCCTGCCTTTCCCTTCCTCCTTGAGCTTCTCAGACACTCTCATGGTTCTCCTCCTATCTCCTCAGTCTCCCTTCCTAGCTTCACACTTAAGTGTAGCTGTAACCTAAAGGCTCTTCTCAGTCTTTTCACTACTCCATCCATTCCCACACCTTCAAAAAGCACTCCAGATAACCTCTAAGATATCCCATCATCAGCAAACTGAACTGTTTCCTCCAAAACCTCCTCCTTCGATTTCTCAGTTTGTGTTACTGGCATCATCTTTCCAATATACAAACCTAAATCATCTTTGGCTACTCTCATTTCTTCAGTTTCATATCTGGTTAACTGCCAAGACCTTTGGGTCCTGTCTCTGAAACATCTTTCCTATCTTTTCAGTCCAGAGTTGCAGCATTGCTGTAGCATCCAAACTGCTTCCCAAAGTCTCCTTGCTCCTGTCTCTTCCAGTCTGTCCTTCACGTGCTGCAAAATCAAGTTCCCAACCCACAGCCTTCGATCTTCAATAAATCCCTGTGGTCTACTGAAGAAACTTTCTTTAGTCTGCATTCAAGAACCTTTGGCTTGCCTCCACCTTATGTTGCAGCCTTATGTTGCAGTCACCATCACCTGGCCAAACTGAATCGCAATGACTGGGTATGCTTATCTTGCCCTTTTTTACTTCTAGGTCCCTGATCAAACTTTACCCAGTGCCTAGAATCCTCTCCCTGTTTAAATCTTCTACATCCTTTACATAGGGTTCAATACCTAGAGGAAGAGTACCATGAACTTCTTTCCCTCCACTTTGGAAATATTCTCCTTGGATTAAATTTTCCTCAACATTAATTAACTAAGCACCTACCAGAACTCTCATAGAATTGTTAATACTGGTGTTTATAATCAAATCTTCATCATGTAGCTAACATTTTGTATGTAAATGGTGCTTAATAAATATTTGCTGGATGAAGTGTGGCACAGTGGGTTAGGAATATAATCATGCTGAAGGGCAGCATCCCCCCCCCCTTTTAACTGTAACATTGGTGTCAGGGGACAGCATTAACACCAATGTTTCCATTCTGTTGCTTTCTTTGGGTTAAGACTTGGTTTGGCCTGTGGTATCTTAATTAATGAATTATTTTATTATGGGGTTTTAGTTTACCTAGTTTTTTTCTTTGGATGAGAAATCACAGATAAATCTTCCAGAACAGATTAATGTTCCTGGTCTGTAAAGATCAGAAGGTGAGATCATACATGTGAATTTGCACTTTTCTTGTCCTTTGTTAAAAGTCTCCCAAAGAGAACACTATTGCCATAATGAGATGGACTCTCTCCTACCACCTGGATGCTTAGAGTATTTCTGAATTTCCAGCTGTCACTAAAGCTTCAGTTTCTATTTCATCGTCTTGTTGAGTGTATGTTCCATGAGAACAGGGACTGCTTCATTTTTGTCTTTGCATCCCCATCATCTGGCAACATAATAGGTACTTAATAAATGCTTGTTGATTGACACAGAGATATCCCATGGCTCTTAAAAGCTTGCCTGGCAAAGCACAAACTCTACAGGTCCTAATCCTCTGAAAAGGCTTTATGTGTTAGTGCATAAGGCCCTTGACTGGAAGGTTGGCCACTTCAGCCCGTCAAGAGCTTATGCAGCAGAAGCACTGGTGAAAGGAGTGTCCACGTTGATGAAATCACGGATATTTAAAGCACTGTGACTTTTGTCATTTTCCTTACTACAGTTTTGATTAAATAATTTAGTCACTCAAATGAGGGGTAGTGAGCTGTGCTCATAACATTATCAACTCCTAGACTTCTTAAAACAGCAAACGAAGCAAAACTCCCTTTTTCTAAACTAAGACACTAAACATTTCTTTATAAAAAGTCTTTATTTGAAGGCAAAACAGTAAAATCCACAAGAAATCTGTAACATCACATGTTGACATTTTATTCTGAATCAGACATAGTTGAATAGTTTCACAGCTATGGGAAATCTAGAACAGAATCAAATATTTCATCCCCTTGGGTCAAAGAGTTTGGGAGAGATTTCTGCATCTTTTAAAACAAAGGTTCCAAGATTGTGAATTGTACAAACAGATGGCACTGCACCAAGCCGCCCACAGCACTCAGCTCTGCACGTCGTCACACACTTGTTAGTATGTTTAGGTCATGTCCAGGAAAAGAAAACGGCTTCTCTTGAGGTTTCCAGTCATGCCTCATGATGATAATTTAGACTTTTTATTCCTCTTCTACCTCCCCTTGCTATTTTGGTTTCAGTATAAAAATGATGAATTCAGAGCTGTAGAATCTTTAACTGCCTTAGATGCCCAAGACAGTCTGAGTGGGCTGTGAGCACGCAGGTGCTCCTGTAAATAAAAACATTAAGTACATAGAGCTTTGTCAAAGGTCACCATTCCCAGAACAGGAAGATGCTTAAGCCCTATGTTGGCATGCCAGTCTGCTCCTTCCCAATAGCATCTATCCATTTCAAATGGCTGACACTGGAGAACAGTATAAACTTCATCCTCAGCGCCAGCGTGTCCTAGAGGAATTAGGCTTTGCATGAGCTCTACTAGGGATAGTCTAGATAAACATACATTTGACTAAAACTAAACCAAATGGAATTAAAAAAAAAAAGAGAATGCAGGTCATCTTCAAAACAAAAGGGTATTTTGTTTTTACTTTAAATACTGTGTAGTAAAGTCTAGTTTTTATTACTACACAACCAATAATTTTAAGGTAGGTTAAAGCACATCATGGCTTTTGATCTACTTCATTGTTGGCTAATGGCAATCACTTAATATCCTTTCCTCAAGACACTAGTCTTGGCTTATATAAGATGCTCAAATTTGATTTAAAGAAGATGTAAGATGTCCACTCCTTCAGTTGAAGGATTCCTATTCAGGGGGGTGGAGGATCCTGGTTTTCACACTTCACTGGAAAGGACAAAAGTTCACGTGTAAACATATCCTTTTTCTTTTGATATTTTTTGATAGTGAGTGTTCGAATCATAGATCAAGCGTACGTATGCGGTTTCCATTACATTCAGGTGGTGCGCCTTGTCAGTATTGCATGCCATGTTCTTCCCATCTTGTTTCCTGTCACTCCCTCAGAGAAGTACACCTTGGTAAAACTGAGTTGTTACTAGGATCCTGACTTCCATACCAAGTATCAAATTAGGATTAGGATTTCTAACAAAGGACAGAAAGGCTACACAGTGGGTAGACAGCAAAGAAGTGATTTTACTTATAGCAAAACTTTTCCAAAAAAGATTAACAAAATTCAAAAAAGACAGTTTCCAACAACAACAACAACAACAACAATGTTTTAACTCCTGAATCTTCCATGTTAAATTCTAGCCCTGTAGCCTAGGCAACGGGAGAGCCCCGCTCTCTTAGTGGAGAAACTCAACCAATTTACTTACATTCATCCCTGGCTTTCATACGTGCAATGAACGAGTAACTTTTGTTTCTGCGGTAGTTTTCATATGGATCATCCAAAGCCACGCCCACTCCCTTGTACTGATCCCATTTATCTCTGATATCCCCCCCTTTAATCGGGTCCTGAATGCCTTGTTCCTTCACTCCCAGGCCACCTGATCCACTCCATCCTTGGGGAAAAAAGATAAGATGGGACATTTATCAATCTACAAGTGAATTTTAATTTGTGAAATAACGCATCTTAACATAACCTCTAACAAGAATATTAAGAACTCTCTGGAAGGTACAAACCAGTTGTCTAGTAGAAAACTAAAAATCAGTATTAAATTTATAACTTTCCAGAAATGATTTTAATGAGCCTAATTTTTTTTTTAGCACCTGACATCTTCAGAAATGCCTGAGGAAATGCTGCCAACTTTAGAAACAAAGAGTTTTATATAATAATAGTTTATGTTAATATAGCATTTTATAGTTTAAGAGTAAGTATGACATAATGGAAAACAACACTAGATCCTGGCTCTTCTAATGACTAACTAGTACTACGACCTACATTGTGCAGATGGCTTTTTCTTAAGATATGAAGTAACTATTCATAAGAAAAATCTTACCCATTTTCACCAACATCTGGTGTCCTTTATTTTCTTCTCCAAGCCTTGAATCAGGTACAGGTGGTGCTGAATTAGAGCCCAAACCAGCTGAGGAACTAAAATGAAGACAGGTTTTGTTGGTGAACTAAAAAACGGAGCACAATTTCAAAAACCCACAACAGTAAACTAGGAAAACTCTGGCATACTTAGTAAAATGGTAAGGAAGGAAATGGCCTATAATTTGGACTAATAATAATAATGGTCCTTGATCAGATTCTTATGCATGGACTATGCCACGCTGAACATATGGGGTTTCTAATTAGAACTTTTAAAATATTCACAGAAAAGCACCAGAAGATTATGATCTACACAGAGACAGTCTGCCAGCACGTCATTCAGAAGGGAAGAGGAATCTTACGGGGGAGTAGGACTCCGAGATCGGGATCGGCGCCTCCTTCCTGGGGAGTAAGACTTCGACCTGGACCTGGACCTTGACCGTGATCTGCTGCGTGAAGAACGGGACCGGCTTCTGCTCCTGTATCACAAGAGTGTCTAAATTCAGTTATACTGTCCTCCAGAAAAACTGTACATGAACATCCAGCGTTGCAAATCACGAAGGGGCTCTACTTCACAAAGAAAGGCCCAGTTGTGACCTACCTGGACCGAGAGCGTGAATAGGATCGAGAACAGGAGCGAGAGCGTGACCTTGAGTATGAACCAGATGATTTGGAAGATCTTGAATTGGATCGTGAAGAAGAACGACCTCTACTTTTAGACCTGCTACGGGATCTGGAAGGTCCACTGCAAAGAGAATTTTTAGTGAGCAAAATATTCTGACAGCTCTAATATATCTATGCAGCCACACCAATAAAATATATGTTTAAACTTGCCCTAAATTAAACATCACCAGAAAACTAGTGACATCTCACATCTGAATGGGAAAAAAAGGAGACATTGTCATTCAGTCTTGTTGATGAACTTGAATAAATAAATCTGAGTAGAGGCCCTAGTGATTCTAAAATAAATACCCTGTTTCTAAACCCAACTTGCTTCTTTCTTCCTGATGTAGTATTAACTTTAGATTCTATTAGTAAATCAATTTCCCAAAGATAATATATGGAAGGTGTAGCTTCAGCATCTAGAAGCAACACTACTTCCTGATTTTAGGAATCTGCAGAAAATGCAAATGTTGACTTTCCTTCTAAATATCAACACAAGTAGTCATAATTCAGCGTGATCTACTGTTAAAAGGTAGCTTCAACAAGAAAATAAGGCATATTCTATTGTATCAGCAAGCCCACTACAAGAGAAAAATGGTACTGACCTCGGTCTCATTATTTAAATGTGTCACTGGACTCAAGGAGTACCATTTGTCTGAACATACAATTCAAGGCATCAGAAATTTAAAAGAAAAAATTTGTGTTAAGTTCTCACCTGTTTCTCTTTTCCTGCCCTTTTCTCCTCCTGGCTCTCATTTTTGCTCTGAAGAACTCATACAGCCCATTCTGTTCCCAGCCTTCACTGTAAGACATGTATGTTTTCCTGAACAACTAATTCCAAGCATCTCTTCTTCAGATGCCATATATATTTTTTTAAAACGTGAGGAATGGGCACAAAAAATCTGGATCAGAAGTCCCCAACACCCTAGGCCATGCCATATTATCATTCCTAGCAGCCCCAAAGAAAATCTTGAACACAGAAACTTCTACCATATTGTAGTTTGTTGGGGAACTAGACACTCTTTGTTTCAAATACTCTCTTAGCAAGTGATTGCAGTATCAAATAACTTCTAATTTTTACCATTCAAAGCACTATTATTCATCTTTTCTCTCATTGTAATTCAACAAATTAAATCCCATTCAATCAACTATGAAGTGACAATATATGAATTCTTTGGATACAAGGATGAAACCAAACTCAAGCAAAATATGTTAAATGCTCAGGATGGATCAGAAAAGCAAGAGAGATTCAGAAAGGAATAATTTTTCTCTTTAATCAAGAAAGGTTTTCTGTGGAAGGTAGGACATGAAGATAATCCTTCAATGGACAATGGGATTTTGAAGCATAGTGGACAGTAAATGCAATTACAAGGTAGGATAAAGCAGAAAGACTGGGAAAAAATGAAAAACCCATTAAGTGAATAGATGAATGAAGACTAGAGAGAACCACTGGAATTTCAGCTTAGTTTGACAGGTTTAGGGGATAGTGTGAAGGGTTAAATGCTTTTATACCTGGGGCTCAGAGCTGGCTGAATTAAACCTCTCTCTTTTGTAAAAGTATCTTAATTCTACTCTGATTCCTTGACAACCCTATGAGGCTACGTTATTATCACTATTATTACCCTATGTTATTATCACTATTATATCCATAATACCCTACGTTATTATCACTATTATTTCCAGAGGACTAAACCAAGCTATAGAAATAAACTGACTTCCCCAAGGTCAGATGGATGGTTGGTGGTAGTGCTAACACTAGAATCTCCACACTCTCCTCTGCCTGGGCCACAGTGACTACACCATACCCACCCTTACCTGTTTCTAGGTCTATCATGGGATGGAGGACTATAAAATGCCTCCACTGCTGCCAAGAGCCTCTCGCTGGGAGGCATGGGGGGTGGAAGACGTATGTCTTTTGGATCCAAAGGCTTATACTCGTGATCTTCTAGCTGCAGGAGATAAAAACATACATTTGATACACCACACCATTCACTTACCAAGTCAATTCAAATAAACATTTATTAAGCATTCCCTTGTGCAGGGCACTGTGCTACACTCTAAGGATGCAGAGGTGAAACAAGACAGTCCTACCCTCATGGGGCTTACAGCCTAACAGGAGACTAAGACATGCATACAAATAACATGTAAGTTAGAACACGGTAAGTGTGTATGAGAGGACAAAGTAGAACAAGAGACAGGGCCTGCAAAGGGGACGGGAAAGAGGAACGCGAGATCGAGGGCTATCGGCTGGAAGAGACCTCAGAGACCAGCTAGGCCAGTCAAGACCTGAAGAGGAGTCATCCCCCTTTTGCCTGGGATCCTTTCCATTTTACCACGACTCTGCTTGGTAGAAAGTTTTCCCTTTACAGAAAGCCTAAATTTTACTTCTTTCCTACTTTATTACTCTTGGTTCTACCCTCTGAGGCCGAGCAGAACATAGTTAATCTTCCCCATGAAAGCCCTTCAAATAGTTGACAGTTATCATTGTCCCCTCCCATCCCCAAGTCTTCTCTAGACTAAATGATGACCCTCTCCTGCCCTCCAGATCAAGTTCCATGTGATCCTCATGTGGGATAAATCTGAGGGCTTTCATCATGGTGGCTGCACTCCCAGGAACACTGTGCAGCTTTCAAATGTCCTTTCTAAATAAAATGTGGTCCTCAGACCTAAAAACAAGAAAAGGGTCTGACCAGCCAGAATTCAGCTCTCATTTCTTTGCCCAGTTTGTTCACGCATTCTGAACTGGTACTTCATGAAAACCATGAGATTATTCCAGACCAAGGGCGGGGAACCTATGCCCTGAAGGCCACATGTGGCCCTCTGACTGAATCTAAACTTCACAGAACAAATCCCCTTAATAAAAGGATTTGTTCTGTGAAACTTGGACTTAGTCAAAAGGCTGCACCCAAGGATCTAGAAGGCCATATATGGCCTCCAGGGCACCGGTTCCCCACTCCTGTTCTGGACCACCAGATGCATAGCAACGCCTCTTTCGACTTCATATTTATGAAAGTGATTTTGAAAAATCCAATTAAAAGGTGTTACTCAATTTCATTTTTTTTAAAGTTCAGGTTTAACCTGTCAGTAACTTTGGGATCCGGTCCCATCCAGTGTACTAGCTATTTCCTCTCAGCTTTGCAAATCTGATAAGCATGCTATCAGTGCTTTTATCCAAGTCACAGAAAAAAATGTTAAACAGCGTGAGGCCTAGCACAGATGCCTGGGGCACTCTCTTGGAGATCTTCCAAGCACACCATTAATGACCCACCTTGTCACTAGCCCATGTTTTCCCATCTTTTCAACAGGAACAGCATGATACTTTGTCAAATGTTTTACCAAGATCTAGGTAAGAATTTTCTGCAATATTCCCTAGGTATGTCAGTAGAGTACCCCAATCAAAAAAGAAAATGAGTTTTGCCTACTAGACCCTGTTCTAGATGGCTCTATGTAATCCCTACTTCCTTTTGTAGTTATCCACTAACAACGCCTTTAATAACAAGTTCTAGAATTTTGCCAGAAATTGAAGTCAAACTAACTGGCCTGTAGCCACATGATTCCTTTCTGTCCCCCCCCCCGCCCCACCCTTTTAAAAAAAAGGGCTATTTGCCCTTTTTCAGCCCTGTAGTATGTCCCCAATTCTCCCCACTATCTCCAAAATCTGGGACACTGGCTCATAGGATGTAGTTCATCTGGGCCAGGGAAGCTGAACTCATTCTGGGAGACTAGGTGCTCTCTTACTATCTCTTTACTTAGCTTGGATATTAGCTCCTTCCTGGCTATGTTTATTCTGTCATTTCTCATCCAAAGATTCTCTCCTTAGCAGAGAAAACAAGCAGAAAACAAACTCTGCTTTGTTTTCACTACCCTACGTGAAAGTTCTGTCTCAGTGATGTTTTAAAAGCCTCATTTGTTACCCTTGGTTTTTCCTGCCAGCCTCAGTTCACTCGGAGCTTTAGCACTCCTTGAACCTTGAGACTGTCACTCACTTCTGAGGTCACCCTGTTCTCCATGCTTGCTTTCATCTTCTACACATTTTTGAAAAATCTCATTACACTGGTTAGCAAGTTCCCTGTGTACCCATGTTAGTGTCTCTGGATGGTTCCTTTTTCCTCCACATCAGAATGTTTCTCTTTGCGTCTTCAGACTTTGTTCCTGGGTTTCCCATGTCTCCTATGTCAACTTCCCTTGGGTAATTTTGGTCCACAGGATCCTAACTATTCTTTTTCGGAATCCTCTGAAATATGCTTGCCTCCAAATCCCTGGTACAACCCATACTGTTATCCAAGCACCAGTTTGTTTGTTGGTTAGAATCAGAAAAATCAACCCCCAGCATTTCTCTTTGTTGGTTCCTCTCCCTTTTGAGGAAAGGATTCTTGAATATGGTGGTAAGCCAAGATGAGTACTGAAGACAGAAGAGGATTTCTGTGGGCGGCACTGGGGAAAGGGGCTAACACGCACACGTGTATAGAGGCAGGAAATGCTGGAATGTAGTTTGTGAAGGGGAACAACAGGAGATAAAGCTGAAAAGACAGTTAAGGGCCTTAAATGCCAGACTACGAAGCTGGCATTTTGTCTTAAAGGCAATGGGAAACAACCAACATTTTAGAGTAAGGGAGAGATGTGGCCAGAGCAGCCTCTGTGGTAGGCAGATTACTCTAGTAGCCTATGAAGGCTGGACTGGAGAGAGCCAAGACTTGAAAACTAACTAAAGA